TTTTAGGTTACAGTTTTTATTATAATCTGCTGCATGACACGAACACAGAATTGAATAAACTTACAATTCTAGTGCTTTTTATCATGCTAAATTAATTTTGGGTTTCTATCAGTGACTATAGATCTAGTTTTTAATTGAATTTATTGGGGTGACATTGGTTAATAAGATTATGTAATTTCCAAGTGTACATTTCTCTTATACATGGTCTGTATATTGCATGGTGTGCCCACCACCCAAAGTCAAGTCATCTTCCATCACCATGTGTTTGACCCCTTTAGTATTATCCTGAATATTATTTCCCGTGTAGACATTTATATATTTACATATTTTCTTTCACATTATTTAATCCTTGCAATCACCATGTTAAGCTGACATTTTTATTCTGTGGCCAAGAGAGGTTAAGAAAGCAGCCCACAGCCACAGACCTCTTGCGGGCCTGGGACCTGGACGTGCTGACTTTCCATGGCTGTGGAGCGCCCCATGTTCTGACACTGGATAGTGTTAGATTTCTTCAAACACAAAAAGTTCTGCTGCCTCAAAAGAAAACAATCCAGCCACATTCACCTTCTTGAGACCCAGGTGTATGGTTGGTTTTTAATCTTCTTTTCCATTTGACTACCCAGTTTCAAAGGACTCGTGTAAATAACTGCCCAGGATGGTCGTTCATCTCTCACAGCAGTGTGTAGAAGATGGTGTTCCTTTGCTGCTTGTTCCTTAGTTCATTCATTCATATGCCCACTGACTCATTCATTCCCTCGTTTCTTCAACAGCCTGGTGAAGAACCACTGTAATATTAACTCCAATGGGCAGAAGGGCCCTCACATGACTCTTCCTGTGGCTTAACCCTCGGAAACTATCACTCAACAGTCTCCTTACATCTGCACAGGGGGTGATTAAAAATATTCTAAATTAACTGGTAATTTGTGTTGTAAGTATGTGGAAACATTTTTTAAAATTCTAATTTGTATGCCTTTTGGGGATTTTATATTATTTGTTTGTGTGTATACGGGCTTACAAAAGTCATGCATGCACATTGAAAAATATTCTAACGTTTCAGGCATGTATGATGCAGAAAGTGGGATTCTCCAGTAATGAGGTGCCACCCTTTGACCCCAGACTGGAGAAGGCCACTGCTAATCCTTTCAGTCTGCGTTGTATATATTATATTTTTATAGATCATGTTAATGTAAAATTGCATGACTCTTGGTCTGGATCTTAAATTTTTTAAAGCATAATTAAGTGTATTTGAAATGATTTAAAATAAATTATGACTCATACCTCAGCCTTTCTTAACCAGTGGAATGAAATGTGATGTGTCAAAATTGAGTTAAATCCATAATCTCTGTGGATGTGCTTTTGACTTGCACATGACGGAAAGTCGGCAGGCAAAAGTGAGGCAGCTCCACACACCATATTGACATTCAACAATGAGAAGGTCAGAGCAGAGAGTTGATGTCAATATGTTCATCACGTACTGCAATAAAGCTGTCCCGGAGACTGCAGTCCCAGCTGCCACTCCCCGTCTTGTGAGTGAGACATGCACCATTCAGACCCTCAACTCCTTTGCTATAAAAATACCGTGCTCTAACAAAGGTTTAATTATTTTTCAATAATATTGATATACTCTAGATTGCAGGTTTCAAAGACAAACTTAGAATTTCCACACCAGATAGGGCTTTATTTGACAAAAAGAATAAGAGATGACAGCTGAGATTTCTAATTCTGCCACATGAAAATTTCTGAGTAATTGCACGACAGGTGTCATTGTTCTCAGAATCGCAAAGTGCGTGTAGCTCTCCATTTTGTTTTCCAGTATTTTATTGGGGATGCTTTTCTTGGGGACTTTACTAGCAGTTTTAAATGTTGAGGAAAATGTTTTCCTTCTACCTTCTTTTTTGCCAAAAAGAGGGTAAACACAAGCCATGGTAAAAAAAAGATCACACTGCACTATAACGTGACAGTATTATGGTCTCTTTTCCACCAGGCAATCTCCCTTAAAATGGGCAAAATCCACACACAGAAACATGCTTCCCCAGGTTAGAAAGGGTCTTCAGTTTGCAGATTTGGCAGCGAAGAGAGTATAAAGGGGGGAAAGCCCTGCTTCCTGGAGCCGTGTTTCCTGGAGAGGCCCGTTGCATGGTAAACAGCACAGAACAAATGCTCATCACTCATATTGCTGCTCCTCACTGGTGACGTCGAAGCCAGTCCATATGTGAGTCCTTCTGAAGACAGGGAAGGACTGGAGGAGGTGGCGGAGCCCACCACGATGTTTTAAAGCTTACACAAATGTTATGTTGCAGATCTAAACCCACCACGATGACCTCAACTGCTACAGGGCCTTCAAGCTTTAACTCCGCCGGACACGCCAAACATCAGTTTTTTAAAAGTCAATTCTGAGAAAAATTGGAGAGTTAAAAAAATTAAAAACTATTTCACAAGGAGGCAGTTCCCAGCTACATTCAGTACGACCCACTTTAAAATTTATATTGGTCTCCCATCCCCAAGTGCTTTCACAGAGTGGCCTGCCAGAGGCCATCAGCACACAGCCCTCCCAAATGGAGCAGCAGCAGCATGCAGATTCACCCGAGCCAGGCTGGCATTTGCACTCACACAAATCGCTTGGCGATGGACGAGCATCTCTACCCTGTGAATTATGGTCGCTTCCCCTCAGAATAGAATCAAGGGTCCAACCTGAAGGGATCATGATATAAAGGCAGATCATGCTTTGGTGCTCAGTGGGATATGCAAATAAGAATGAGAAAAGGGTGCTTCACTGCTGTCAGAGTGTGCTGGGTTTTATTTGGGAAATGAAACAAAATCTTCCTCTGATCAGCCACTCCATGTGACATCCCAACCCACACTCTGCTACTGACATTTTATCTCCCACTGAACAGCCCGGCTGTTGTAACATTTTCAGGATTCTTAATTTATGTCTTGCAGGATCTAAAATGAGATAGCAGAAACTTTAAGAAAATAACCAGCGTTGACAGACACTTTTGTACCTCAAGAAGCTGGTACACCTCAGTGCTGCGAAGAGTTGGGTAATATTCTCTACTTTCTTTTTTTCAAAATATGTCTAGGAGATGGTGGGATGGAGATAGGGAGCTGCCCTAAGTCATTTAATTTCTCTTTTCAATCTAAACTCTATGAGAGACCTTTCCTTACACTCAGTAATTGCTAGCAAGCTCATTGTCCTTTCTTGGTATGAGTGACTCTGACATTCAATCAATCAATCAATCAATCGATTAAAAAGAGAGTAACCAAGGAAAGTGAACTAAGATTCTTATATGTAACCAAGAACTATGCAAAAGTAAAATGACTCAAAGTTGAGACATAACATTTGTGTAAGCTTTAAAACCTGCTGAACTGTTGGTTCTCAGAACACTGGTGGGGGATGGTATTATGATAACGACTACTCCTTACACAAGAGGCAAGTGAGGCACAGAAAATGGACAGGACTAGTTGTTAATCACTCAGCCTTGAAAAAATGGTGTCTCAAACCCAAACCGCCATTTTCTTTCTATTATATATTTATGCTGCTTTGTAAAAGCAGTGACTTTGGATTAGCTGATCATATGAAGAGGGTGAAATCTTTGCTTTCCAGAGCATTGGCATTGCTCAACACACCGGACTCTTGGGCTTACACCTGCCGAAGCTGGGATACCTGTGTACACCCTAGCCCTGGAGTACTCAGCCTTCATCCCCCTTTTCTCAGAATGGATTTATACCTATTTATCTACAAGGTAGTGCTTGAGAGTACAGATTCAAGTCAGATGACCAGCTCTGACACTAAGTAAGTATCTTGCCCTCGGCAAGATACTTAACTTTTCTGGGCCTCATTTTCCTGTACTGTAAGATGGAGATGCCAATAGCACCTACCTCATAGGATTGTTGTAAGGATTAAATGAGATTATTTATGGAAAATATTATATAGGGGTACCACCCATCAACTTTGCCACGTGCTTTCATAAGTGCACTATAAATGAGTCCATAATAGGCTTATGAAAGCCTCTGGCTAGATCATAAAGCTAAGAAAAGCCTTGCTCCACCCCTGTAGGTAGAAAACTAGTATACTCCTTTTATACAGTACCTTGCACATAGTGGAGGCTCAAAAAACGTGTTTAAATTGAACAAAAGTCAATTCTACCAGAACAGAAAGTTATAGTCCTGAATCATTCAAGTTCAAGGCCCAGATTTGTCCAGTATCTCTAGTCCACTTCCCTCCCCTCTCCACCTCACTAATTCCAAGGGCAGAGGTCAGAAGAAGGATGAGTAACCAGTTCGCATTAAACTCAATTAAGAGTGAAAACTAGTTTGGAAAAACTGCAACATTTACGTCTTGGTGCCTGAAATTTAGATCACTATGCATCTTTTCTACATAAACCCCAGGAAGCTATCTTTATATTACTGGGGCGAAACCCTTAACATCCCCCTGTACCAAAGAGCTCCCTGCAGGTGCTTCCAAATTTTATTTGCTCCCCACTCCCAGGTTGCCGGAGAAGCCTGGCTGACAGGTATCTACTCCTGGGCAGGCGGCAGGTAGGGAAAGGAAGAAATGACACCACAAGCAAGTTAAAATCGTAAAGGAAGAGAAGCCTTCAAACCGAAGCACCGGGTGGAGGCGGAAGCCTCGCGGTACTGGCTGTCCCCTTCAGGGGAGAGCTGTCCTCCCGCTTAGGCCCCGCCCCTCCCGTCCCAGGCCATGCCCACAGCCCGCCCTACTCCACCCTCAGCCTCCTGCCTGGGTCGCAGGGCGCTTGCGCACTTCTTAGGTCGTCTTGGCACTTGCCCGAATCCAAATGTGGGGAAAGAGGCAACTCGTATTTTCTACAGAACACGCTAGAGGGACTTTCCGCTGTTTCCTACAGATGATTTTTCCTTTCTTGGAACTGAGAGCCCGGATTCTTCTATGTGGTTTAAAACTACATATTTTAAGTTGGGCGATCTCCGGATAGCCTGTCTTTTGGCTCAGGGTCCTTTAGGTTGAGCCTTGGGGCCACTACAGGGAAGGCAGGGTCCTTTCTTGGGGCGGTCGCGCAGGCAGCGGCTGCGAGTAGCCGGACTCAGGGCGCAATGTACTACAAGTTTAGTGGCTTCACGCAGAAATTGGTGGGAGCAGGGGCTTCCGATGCCTATAGCCCGCAGGTACGGGTTTCACTGGGTCGGCTGAGACTGGAGAAATGGTGACCTGAGCCTCTGCGCCAGGCAGTCGGGGCGCCGGAGCCGCGGGAGGCTTCTGCTAAAGGTTTGGATTAGTTCGCCGGGTACCTCCCGGCGCCTCTCCGCACCCACTTCGCGGCGGCCAAGGAGGTTCCTAGTACTGTAGTTGCTCCCCCGGTGAGCTAGCTTGGCCGGAAGTTGGGCCTGGCACGCAGTAGGGGTCAAGGTGACCCTCGGACTCGTTGCTTGTGTCGTGTTTGTGGGGTCGGCGGGACCCAGAAAGTGTCCCAACCAAGTCCGAAGTTCAGCCCTGTCCTTTTAAAGGAGGTCCTGCTTTCACTCTTATTAGTGTCCCATTGTCACCCCCTGCCGCGGTCCAAAAGGCAGCCTCATGCAAGCACGAGATTGGAGAGCTGGAATGACCCCACTGGGGAATTCGTAGGACCAGGAGAGGACCACGATCGGAATTGGGAGACTTAACGGGTTCCTTGAAATGTTTGGGTGAGTCTGGGTAGGTACATGCAATGAGCTTGCACTTTCCCAACTGTCAAATGGTTGACAGACGCCTATTATTTGAGTGGCCTGGAAAGTGTTGCGATTTCACTCAGATTTTGCCAATTAGAGTTCAGTCTCGAGCTTGTGTTGTAGAGATGAGGGATTTTGGTTACAGCCCCATAGTCCTAATTAGTACCCAAATCCTGGTGTCCCTGCTTTGCTTTATAACCTTGAACAAGGTACGTAGGTTATTGTGAGGTCAGTTTCATCTAGGGCAGCTGGAGTGCAGGTTACACGAGGTGTGTGTCAAGTAACTAGCAATCTTTGGCAGGTGCTAGCTCCTGGCTAAATGGTAGCTGTTCTCCAGAAGCTGAGCCTGAGCTATCACCATATTCCTTCCTTATCCTCGTAGAGTGATGTGGGAAGGGTTGATAAGATAGTTGGAAAAATGGACTGGAATAGTAAGGGACCCAGGTAGAGTCTAAAGGATGCTCCGTTGTTAACCTTTTCTCTGGGACACTGAAACTTGCCCCAAAAGGAGGATGTTTAGGAATGAATTCAATCTAAGGTTAGATGTGTTGTTAATTAGTATAGGGAGGGCAAAAAGAAGGGCACAGTTTTTTGAGGGGGATGTGGGGTTGAGGAGAAAGGGTCTAAGTTTATAAATGTTGATCTTGTGATATGCCTGGTAATAGCTGGATTTGTGAATATGAGTTTAATAGATTTGGGTATCTTCAGCACAAAGGTGGTAATAGAATCTGGGGGTGTTGGATAGTACATAGGGAAGAAAGGTGGGAATGTAGTTAGAGGACAGACACATGAAAGGAGGGTGGAGTAGGAAAATTTATTAAAAGAACAGTCCAGGATTCGAAGGCAAATCAGTGTGGTGTCACTGAAACCAAATTGATAACTAAGTCCGGGATTGTTTGCAGTGATTTTTTTTTTTTGCAGATAATAGTTATTTCTATCATATCTGCTTCTACTGTAAATAAAGCATTTTTCAGTGTACGGATCGTAAATGTTACAGTTTGATAAGTTTTAACACAAATCACCCTTAAGTTTCCCTCTTTTGCCCTGCCAGTCCCTGTCCACCTCCTTATTACTTTTATCATTGTAAATAGTTTTGCCTGTTTTTGAATTTCCTATAGATGGAACCACAAAGTATTCTTTCATGTAAGCCTTTTTTCAGTATGGTTGAAGTTCGTTCATGTTACATGTATTAGTAATCAGTTTCTTTTATTCGTGTAGGATTTATTACACCAGTATATCACAACTGATATATTGTATTGGTGGTTGTAGATGTTCTTTTGGTAGAGTTTTAGCAGCACTTAAGTTTTGTTACCTCCTGAGGAAAAAGTGAAGTTTTAGACTAAAATAAACATACTGAACTTGAATTGGCAGTCAGAGCAGAGATTACTGTGAGATGTGTTTGGTACAGCGAGGACTTTCAAGTTTCTAGCACCTCTTGAATTGTGTTGCTCTTGAGAATTTGAACATTTTAGTTACTTATGGATTTCTTATGTTGAAAGAAGTGATAACAAGCTACCTTCATATGAGTCGTAGATTTTGGGGTGACTATGGCCAGTATCCCCCAAACCAGGGATTCTGACTTTGGTAGTTTGAAGTATTCCAGTTTTTTCCTTTCTTGGAAACATTAGCACCCTGGAAAATGTAGACATTTGTAACTTTCAGTATTATGCAAAGTACACTGAATGTATGGAAAAGCTAGTTTTTTAACAGCAGTGTACGTAAAGATTTATAAATCTACTTGATGGTAAGTAGTTTTGGGGGGTATTTTCCAGTGGTTGATTGAAAAGCATTTTCCTTACCTTTACATGTGATGCCATCAAATTAAGGCTAATAAACATGTGAAGAGGTGATCAAATCATTAATTATTAGGGAAATGGCAAGTCAAAGCCCCAATGAGATGCTAGTTTACACCCGTTAAAAATATAGTGCAGAAAGTTGTGGTAGGGTCTTATGTCTAGAGGTTGCAAGAAGGACATGCTTCTTACCTTTAGTTTCATGAAAGGTTTATGGAGCTATTCTTTGAAAACATGACTCTAACTGGGAGAGACCAGAGCCAGGGATGCCTGTTAAACCCATAAAATCGTTCAGGGTCTTCTAAGTAGGAATGCAACATCAGTGCTGCGAGATAAGGACTTAGTGACTGAGGAGGGAGATTTTAGGGTTGAAGAAAGAGGAATTTAAGATGACTGGGAGGTGGGAGGATGATGATGCTTTCTGCAGGAAAAAAGCTCGTGAGTGGACTTGTGAGAAACTGGGTGAATCTGGGACAAGCCGAGCGTGAGATGTTGGGAATCATGGAGGTGGTGCTGTCTGTCTGGCTCGCGGTGAGGCATGAAGGACTTCAGCTACTGCGGGGTGACCTTGTTTCCAGTCCTAAATCACAGTGCAACAATTCATAGGTTTCTGTCATTTAAAAATGAATAATTTTTTGAATAAGTTTTATTTCTCCACCTTTCTTCCTCCTCCCCAGACCTAAAAAGTAGGAGAAAAGGAAAACTTTGGGTCAGTCAACTTTGATGGGGAAAAAACCATGTTTACTTTACTCTTAAAAAATTTGGAACTAAAATAAACTAGGAAGAACTCAACTGCTAAAGGTGGTTGGTTACAGGTGAATGCCTATTTGTGTCAACAGCCAGGAGAGTCCATTGATACTAATAAGCAAAACCTGCATTTTCTGTTTGGCCCATAGACCACTTACTTTAAGAACAACGTTCAGTTGTTTGCTCATCGGCCATCCAGTGCTGATCTACATGATTTAGTTCAGAAGCATTTGTCTACATTGTGGTGAAACTGCAGACTTCCTTAGCTTATTTATACATTCAATAAACATTTACTAAATGCACTCCATGTGAGTTGCTTTTCTAAGTCTTGGGAAAGAAGAGCAGTGAACAAAACAGCGAAATCCTGCCCTTGTGGGACTTGCATTGCGTAGGGAAGGCACGGCAAACAAAGTAGAAAATAGTATGTTGATGGTGATAAGTAGTGTGGAGAAAAATAAAGCAGAAAAGGGGGATAGATTGTTAGCAAGTTAAGGGGGAGGACATACAGTTTTAACAAGGGCGGTTAAGGGAAGTTCTCACCAAGAAGGTGACAGGTGGACAAAGACTTGAAGGTGAGGGTGCAAGCCACGTGCATACCTGGAGAGGAGCGTGCTAAGCAGAGGGAGCATGCCTAGTGCTTGGGAGATTTAAGGTGCTAGTCCAGTGGGCTGGGGCAGAGGAAGGGATGATGTAAGGGAGGAGGGGGTTTGAGGGGTCCATCTCAGGCCCTGCAAGCCATTGTAAGAACTTAGAGTTTTGCTCAGTGAGATAGGAAGCCTTTGAGAGGATTTGAGCTGAGTAGTGACATCTTATGTTTTAACACAGTCACTGCTTCCTGCATTTAGAGTAAGTAGATTGTAGGGCAGCAGTGTGGGAAGCAGGGTGACCAGTCGCAGAAATCCAGGGCTTTGTACCAGAGTGTGGATTGGTGGAGATGGATGAGAACTGGTTGGATTCTGAATATAGTTTGAAGGTAGAGCCAAAGGGATTTGCAGATTTGTGTGAGTGAGAGGTATTAAGATTAATTCCAAGGTTTTTGGCCTGAATACCTGGAAGGATAGCATCGCCATTTATTGAGATGGGGAGAAGCGTATTTGAGGCTCTTAATTATGCTGGGTTGGAGCAGGCATAGCCCTGGATTTTGCTCTAGGTCCCTTCCTGTAAATCGCCTCCACCTTGTTTTATCTGGCGGCAGTTCAGAGTTCCTTGCCCCTAGTTAAGGAGTAGTTACATTTCTACAGTCCTAAAATTACATTCGGCCCTTTGAAAGCAACCTTGAGGCTGATGTGGCCCCCGGTGAAAATGAGTTTGACACCCCTGCTGAAAATACAGCTTCCTGGTCAAGTCCGCTCTTGAGAACCCTCGTGCTAGTTCGTCCAGCTGCCTTGGAACATGGGAAAAATCACCTGCTCTTAAATTGTTAGACATAAGCCCTGGCCCGGTAGCTCAAGTTGGTTAGAGCATCATCCCCATACACCAGGGTAGGTGAAGTACCTTCCCATCACAGTCACTCCTTTTAGCTATATCTTGGCAGACAGCTGAGTTATTGGTACTGTGGTGTAATAAAAACGTGTGGGTTTGAATCCCATCTTCCTTATGGAGTCTCTGAACTTTCTTTTAATCATCTGTAATGTGGGCTGATAATTCCTCCTTTACAGGGTTGATGTGAAGAGTAAATTTAGTTACGAAGATTGTATAAGAACCTGAAAAAAATTGCTTATTAGATAGAAATGAAAGAAAGAATGTAGGGTTTACATTAAGGCTATAAAGATATTAAAATATGCCTATGAAAAAAGATATATACAGTTTATAATAACTGATGGGATAAGATCATGGGATAATAGATAACTTAAAAATTCTATATCCTAAGCTTTTACAGTAGTATAAATGGAAATATGAAATTATTTAAAACTTAAGATGGTTGATACTGCTCTTTTGAGATGATATTGTTCAAAACCTTTGCTGTAGTTTTAAAATCACTTGGTGGGTGAACACACATAAAGCCATTAGGTATGATGGCTGTCTAAAAATGCTTTCACGTTAGTCCTGTCAAAACATGAATTTAATTTCAAACCATTTTTGGAGATGTTTGGTAAGGTTTTTAAATTTTTTCGTTCAAGGGGAAATGATTATTAGGAGAAAATACAAATTGCTTACAGAATAAGGGAGTGTGTAAAGTTCTCCAGTTCAAAGAGAGGCCCTATTAAGCCGTGTTCTCTCAGTACCCGAGGTCCCCTCCTCCCATCTAGACTTCTCCTGCAACTCTGTTTGCAGGTGACTAGACTTTTTCTCTTTAAATGGATTGTTGTTTTTAGGCAATAGCTGAGGGGCAGTCACCTGGGGTAGATGGTGCGATAGTTAAAAGCCAAGGCTCTGGACTTCAGAGAGGCTTGAGTTTTGACCTTTGGCTCTGTCTCTGCCGTGCAGTCTCAGGTGGTTACCCTCTTCGTTCCAGTTTTCCAGTTTTCTCCTCGGTAAAAAGGGAATTGCAACATCTCCTTAGGGTTGCTGTCGGGATTCAATGGGGTAATTGTGCGAAATACTTAAATTAACATGATACTGGACACATAACAAGGGCTCAGATATTAGCTGCTGTTACTCCATAATAATATCCATAGTAGCAGAGATTGTGTCTGTCTTATTCATTGTGTGTTTTCAGTGTCGAGTTACTGAGGTAATGCATGAATAAGTAAATGCAGTACAGAATAAAGGCCGTGATTCAGCCCTGTTTACAGGACTGTGTCTAAAGAAATAGACACCAGGTTTACTTGAATACCTTCTTGTTGCCCTGTTGATCCTAATGCCTGCCTGGTGGGAGTGACATCGAGGTTTTCAGTATTTGAGTATTAGAAAAGGCTTGGTCAATTACTGGTAAATTTGGATTCCTTTGAAGAGATCAGGAACCAGAGGGCTGACTACTGTATTTATTAGTTTGGGCTGGTTTGGAAAGACAAGTCTTCTGCCACTGCAGGCTCTTCCAGATGGGGTTATTTCTTCACTGTGTGTCTGGAAAGAGTCCGAAGTCCTCTCTGGATTAGAGGCTCCATGTTAGTCCCTCAGGTCACCAGGAGAAGAAAAGGGACAGCCAGCTGTCTTGAAATCAAACCAAAGTTCATACAGATTAAAATGTTGTACCAGTCTGATGAGAAGATAGACACAGGTTATTTCTAGCTCAGATTGGGCCTTTGTTTGCTCCTCTCTCCCCATAAGCTCCCCCTCCTCGTCCTCAACTGCAAAGAGTTCTTGATAGGGTTGCTCTGGGAAAGAGGACTAGAGTGCTTTGTTGACAGTTTATGGACTTTAAACCTTCAACTTAAAAAATTAAAGGCCTTGTAATGCAGCGTTGGAGAGACTTTCCTTTCCTCATACGGTCGAATAGGACTGCCTCCACCATTCCAGACAGCCTGCTCCTTGGAACCCTCGTTCAGATGGCTGGACATACTTCAACTTGACATTTCCCTTTTTTCCTACAGGGGTTAAAGCCTTTGGTTTCCACAGAAGCACCGCCTATCATATTCGCCACACCAACGAAACTGACCTCCGATTACACTGCGTATGACTATGCTGGGAGGAACAAAGTCCCAGAGCTACAGAAGTTCTTCCAGGTTAGATAAGACGCTCTAGAATGGAGACGCGTGTCAAATAGATAGGTTTAGAAAAACCCTTTGAAACCGAGTCTTAATCTAGTTTACTACCCACCTTCTCTCTTTTTTCTTTAATAGAATTCTCTTGATTTTAGTTTGAGCCATAAACTAGTAGAAGCCTATGTAGGTAGAAGCTGTGAGAGAGAGGGTGGTTAATTTCCTCGTCAGTATGTGAGGGACGCAGCTTTCCTCATTGCACATGTCAGCTGGAGGACGCAGTGGCGCGTGCACTGTGTGTTAACACCATGAATAATTCGATAAGTATTTGGCTTTGTGACACATGCAGTGACTTTTGGCATTGGATTTTCTCCTAGTTTTTACCTCTTTGATATCAGCATCCACTGAGCTATTGCTAGAAGTGGAAGAGGCTCTCTTGTGTTTGCTGATCAGCAGAGAGAAGCCAAAACTGGATTTAAAAATAATGTTAACATTAATCTACATACAGATAATTGAGAGGTCAGTGATCCAACTGTGTCTCGGGTGCCCTGGGAGAGGCAGTGCCTGTTCCCGTTGTTGCTGGAAGGTAGCTTTTCCAGATTCAGGACCAGCCTGGGGACTTTTGATCAGTTTATCCCTTATTAGCTGGTAGGTCAGTCTCCAGTGGGCACCTGGGGTCTGGAGTTGCCGTGGGGAGGGATTTTGGAGACTATGCCAAATAATGACTAAGCAGTCTATGGAGTCCCATTGTTAAGTAGGGGTTTAACAGAGTGATGGAAGAAGGCCCCTGAATATAAAAAATGGGTTAGAACCTGTTAGCTGACCTGGTCTGCTCAGACGTCATCCACCAGTGATCAGGAATTCACACTAAATGTAGAGCATTTCTTGTGCCTGTAGTTCTTCGGTTAGCTGCCGGTTACCTTTACATTAAAAGAAATTCACCAGTGCTTCTGTCCTAGTTAAACAATACAATAAATTCCTTAGAAATCTGCAGTCTGTTGTATGCATGTTACTGAGCCTATGTTTTGAAGAATGACTTTGGACTTAGAAGCTTTAGTTACATTTATAAGAAAATACAGTAGTATTTTAATTAGTGTTTCAGTGCATTAGGGCTTTTTCCACTGTAATGCATTGATAGATTAGTTACGAAGTAGAAACATTAGTTCTTTATTAGCCTAAATTATAAATCCTTTTCTTATCAACCATATCCTTGATAATTCTTTCTTTCCAGAAATCCGACGGCGTGCCCATCCACCTGAAACGGGGCCTGCCTGACCAAATGCTCTACCGGACCACCATGGCGCTGACGGTGGGAGGGACCATCTACTGCCTCATCGCCCTCTACATGGCTTCGCAGCCCAGGAACAAATGAGTGGGGCTGCAGAGGACTGGTTTTTGGCATAAACCCTTTGAATTTTTATTGTTTCTGTAAAAAAATTTTTTTTTTTTACTTGAATGGCCTTAACATTTTGCAAGAAAAAAATAGAATGGTAATAAGACAGTATTTGATTTGTTTATGAAATGCACATGGCCTGAGAGGGCTCATTCAGCAGGTAAAACTGTTGTTCAAAGAAATGCTGCTGCTCTCTGAGTCTGCGCCCTCGGGCTCCCTGGAGGCTCCGGGCGGAGGCTGCATACAGGCTCACTAATGGCAGCCTGTGCCGAGGTCCTTGGGGACTCACGGCCGCCTTGTTGAGCGTGAGGTGCAGGAGCCTCTCTGATTTGGATGTGTGTGAGGACGGAAGACAAAAGCCAAGGCCAGGTGCACGAAACAAGGGGCTTGAGTTTGTAGTTTACCTTGGGGATTTTCCCATCTTGCCGTAAAACGTTAACATATTATTTGCAGCGTGCTTCTGTTCATTGGGCAGTTTGTTTCAAAGGGTTATTTGCCTCATCTCAGATCTTTAGTAAATTTTATGTGTCATTATTATGTATTTATTCCACCATGGGAACAGAACACCTGTTTAGTGTTGCATTGTAGACTGATGTCTGTTTTATTAATGAAGCTGTGACACAGAGTCCCCTTTACCTTTTAAAAATGTTATGACTTTTAAATTATGATTTATTTTGATTGTGGAATAAATACATGAATGAAAAATTTCAAATTTGGAGGGTTTTTTTTTAATGATCTTTCAAAATAATTTCAGAATACTAGAAGCATTTTAAGCCTGAGCCTAATTTCTTTCTTTTAATTTGGTGCCACATAATCTTTACAAATGGTTCCTCGAAGTCAAGTAACAGGAGGCTAATGGCATATTGATGTAATATTAGCATATGGTTCCTTATAGGAAACTTGCTTGCCCCTTAGTGAAATGTGTCTGCAACACACAGTTCATTTAGTCATTAATTTCTTGTGCTGTCACAATTGGTAGACTCACATACCCTGATTAATGCTGGAAAACAGTGGAATTTTATTATATACGAAGTGGTGGTCTGTATCTTGCCATAGCAAAGAGTAGTGATTTCTTATTGAGGATAAAATCATGTTTGAGAGCAGTAGTGTTCTTACAGGCTAGGAAGCCATTATTTGTCTGTACAAGTCTAAATTTTATTCTTGATTTCCCTCCAAGCTTTTAGTTTGAAAAATGTCAGACTTTAGAAGCATTATAAGAATAGTACGAAATGCACCTGTACATCCTCTACTTAGATCTCCAGTTGTCTGTCAATGTATTTCCACCTTTGCTCTCTCCTGCTTTCTCACAAACACAGGCACACGATGTGTTTACACATACACATTTGGTTTTTGCTGAATCATTTTAAGATCCAGCTGCAGAGTTATGATTCAGTCGTAAGTACTTCAGTCAGCATCTCCTAAGGATGAGGACATAATGTGGTTGTCACACCCAGTTTAACACTGATAACATGACTAATATTTAATAGATAGTCTGTGCTTAATTCTCCCCAGGTATCCTGATGATGTGTTGTTTGAAGTTTTGTTTTTTAAAATAACAGCTTTATTGTGGTATAATTCATATGGCACATAATTCGCCTATTTAAAATGTACAGTTCAGTAGTTTTTACTATATTCAGAGAAACTCCACCATTGCCACAAAACATTTTTTATTTACTTTTTAAAAATCTTTATTGTGTTTTTCTTACATTACCATTTAGTCCTCTTATACCCTCCTCCCCCAGCGATCCACTGCCCATGAGTCCATTTTCCTTTTTGCTTGATGCCTCCACCCCCTCACGCCACAGATCAGTTGTAAAACATTTTATTGCCGTAAGAGGAAACCCTATGCCCCATTAGCAATCACTCCCCTTCCCTACCCCACTTCCCGGCCCTACGCAACCACTAATTTCTGTCTCTGCAGGTTCGTTTTTTTCTGGGTATTGCATATAAAATAATCACAATATGTGATATTGTTAATCCATGTTGTATATATCAGTACTTCATCCCTTTTTATAGGTGAATAATATTTCATAATATGGATATACCACTTTTTAAAAAAAGATTTTATTTTTAGAAGGTGTAGGGGGAGAGAGAGAGGGAAACACCAATGTAACCAATGTGTGGTTGCCTCTTTCGCGCCCCCTACTGGGGACCTGACCCAAAACCCAGGCATGTGCCTTGACTGGGAATTGAATTTATGACCCATTGGTTCACAGTCCATCGCTTAATCCACTGAGCCACAGCAGCCAGGACAGATATACCACATTTTATCTGTTTATCAGTTGATGGACATTGGGTTATTCCCACTTTTTGGTTATTATGAATAATGCTTTTATGGACATTGGTAGACAAGTTTTTGTATGGACAGATGTTTTTATTTCTCTTGGGTATATACCTAGGAGTGGAAATCCTGGGTCCTATGGTACCTACATATTTAACTTTTGAGGACCTTGCAGACTAAATCAGATCCACCATCCTTAGCAGCTGTTGGTTTTGGTTTTGTTTGGGGTTCAGGATCCACTCCAGGATCGCACGTTGCATTTGGCCATGACATCCTGTCGTCTCTTGTCCTCCAGAACGGCTCCCAGTGTCCTTCACAACACTGACCACCTGCTTGAAGAGTTTAGGCCAGTGTTGCTCAGGATGGCCTTCAACGTGCATTTGTCTCGTCTCCTTGTGATTGGATTCAAGTTAAACATTTTTGTCAGGAATTCTTCACGTATTGTGTGGTTTCCTTATTGTTTATCAGGTGGTACTTGGTTCCAGTTTGTTCCATTATTGGTGATTTGAATTGGATAATTAAGATGTTGTCTGTCGGATTTCTCCCTTGGAAGGATACGTTTTCCCCTTTGTAATTAGTAAGTAATCTGTGGGGTGATGTTTGAGGCAGGGAATATCCTGTCTTCAATAGTTTTGCACCTGGTGTTAGTGTTCATTGGTGATTGTTTTTTGAATTGTTTATTTCTAAGGTGATTGTAAAATGATTTTCTCTTCTATAATTTCTTCTACAGTGTGGACATTTTTCTGTGAGGATGAGTAACTCCCCTTTTAAGAAGTTATAGTGTGATTTTCTCATTCAGTGAATAACCGTCTCTCATGCATTCTGACGCCCCAGTCCAGCCTGCAGTTGGTGTCTGGGGCCTGTCAGCCCTGCCCTGTTGGTCTCTTGAGCATTTCTTCATTTTCTGACACTCAAGGCGCTCCGTGCCGGCCTTGTCATCTTTTATACTATCGAGTATATTTGTAGGACAGTGTCTCGAAGTGAGACCTGTGAGGCAGAGAGACCACGCCCCCCACTGTGATAGGCCGAGAGGGAAGGTGCTGCCGGGAGGGGGCTGCCGTCCCCGCTCTCCTTCGCCAGCCTGGTAAGTGATAACATGTCTTTGGTTTAAATTGCCTTTTCACTGTAATTAGTGATTAGTGTATCTTTCTTTTATTTAAAGTTTTTTCTTAATTTTTAACATTTTAATTTATTAATTTTTTAATTTTTGATGGTAAATTTATTTTGGTTGGCGGGGGACTGTTCACGTCCTCTGCCCACTTGTGTCCAGGTGCTTTTTGATGGTGCCATGGAGGTCACGGGTCCCTCAGGCTGGCTTCCTCAGAGGCCTCTCTGCCGCCTCCCGTCTGAGCCGTGCTCTTTCCATTGCAGGTCCCTGGAACTCATTCCAACCCGCCTCTGCAGAAAGGGGCGTTTTCCAGAACCCGAGCACGGTTGGGCCTCACAAGGACCACCTTTGGGACCGAGGTGGTTGTCTTTTTTGTCACTCTCTTGGCTGTGTAGCTGTTTAATTCTCTGTTTTTGTGGACCAGCTTTTTCTGTTTCTCCTTGCATATGGTAGGGAATGGTTGTGCAGCCCCTGTAAGTCCGCCTCAGATTTTAGGGGAGAGAATATCATTGGCCCCACTTCTGGGTCAGGTGTCCCCCAGGCTGTGGGGCATGCAGAGAAAGAGCTCAGAGGGTCTGTTCCTGGATCCGACCAGATGGCTCTGAGCCTCTCACTGTGTTCTCAGAGGGTTATTCCATCTGAGCACTTCATTTGAACCCTTGCCAGGCTGGTTTGTTTACACAGAGGGGTGCATCCTCCTTGTTAGTGCGTCTGGGTGAGGGGCTGTAAACAGGGTCCTTTTAGTCTTTTCAGCTGCGCAACAGTGGTCCGGCTCACCGACCCGACCCCGGGGGCAGGAAGATCCCGTGGGGCACCAGCCAACTCAACAGCTGGAAGGCAATCATTTGTTTGCTCCTTGGCTTCCATTGCACTTCTGCAGTGAGCAGCCTGAGAACACACCTGGCCCGGGGATGCCCTCAAACCCTTTTCCACTCGCAGGAAGGAGGAGAGTGCCCACCCATTCTGGTCCGACCGAGGACTACTACTGCCCTGGAGTGTGAAACCGCCTCTGGGTGGGGGCGGGAGGGGACCCATGGGGACAGTTCCACCTACCGGTGATGTTGCAAATGTGACTCCAGTGATTGGGTAGCAAATCTAGTCTCTTTGCAAGTTATAAGTTTTCTGAGTCTTTGCTTTTAACCAAATTGAAGCAGGAAACAATTGAGTTGTTGGTCATTAAAAATGATTGTGGTAATAGATCACTATATTACTTTTGGTGTATGATTCAGGAGTTCAAAGAATTCAGAAATACTGCTATTGCAAAACTTCCATCCTCATGTTTATTTATGAGAGCAACGTTTCTCAGTGCTTAATACCTGGAGAAATTTTTAAAAGGGATGGAGTCGGTGCCGAAACTGCCTAACAGTTACCCAGATTCATCCGTGGAAACATGAGCCAGCTCCCTCCCCTCTAACTGGGATGCATTTCAAATAAAATTTTGCTCATGTTTAATAATACTTATATTCTGTTTTGATCAAATACATATTGATTGTAATGCAATTCAGAATAAAATATTTTTTAACACAGCTTTATGGTCACAGAAAATTTAACCAAATTTACAAATATTACAGAGAATTATAAGTTATCAATAAGAGACTTTCAAGACTAAAAATACGTGACATTAGGATAAAGTTTGGGGAGTAAAATTGTAGTTGGAGGAGTGAAAGGGAAAGACAAGTTCAAGAAGAAATTTCTGACTTTAGCAGACACTTGTGTTTCTAACTAGATGCAGTTAGGTGTCTAATTGCAATGGGGTTTGCATTCCAAACTATTACGTCACAGTTATGAGTGACTTAATAGTTTAAGCAATTACTTACAATCAGAAACTGTACTCTGCAACTATTTTAACACACAGTGAGAGATTTTAGATGTTGAACTTACGTATGCAAAAGGGTACACATAGATTTTCAAACCCTTTAGGGTACACAGGAGCAAGAAAGGTCGCAGACAGCTGGCTGCTTTACAGCTCTTTCAAGGAAGGGCCCACTTGTCCCCCCTTTGTTCTCTCTGTCAGCCAGGTGCCCTTCCAGATTCTGACTGGCTTTCCTTTTCCTTCCAGCCCCTCACCCAGACGGCTCTGGTGTGGAGCCGTCAGTGTCGGGGTGGAGATGGGAGTGATTTCGGTAACCCTGGCTGACTTTCTTTGATTTATGGACTTTTTCTCCCGTTTGTGAGTGTGGCTCTGGGCAGGCTGCCTGGCTTTCTGGCTCATTGATCTTCAGTAGCTACAGGACACACCAGGGGCAATAGTGATTGATGGCTTAGAGATTCTGGTACTCTCTGGTCCCAGTGACTTAGTGCATTTGACTGCGCATATCCAGGG